GAGTCACTGGGTTGAAAAAAATGAAAGAAAGACAGAGAGTGAGAAGGAAGAGAGGAAAGTTGGGTATCTTGCCTTTCCAAAACTAACATTTTGTATTAGTTAGTTAGTTAGTTAGTTAGTTAGTTAGTTAGTTAGTTAGTTAGCTAGTTTTGAGGCAGGGTCTCATGTAGCCGTGGCTGGCTTTAAGGTAACTACGTAGCAGAGGATGACCTTGAACTAATCATCTTCCTGGCTCCACATCCCAAGTGTTAGGGTTATAGGTATACCCAATAAGCACAACCCAAACTAACATTTTTGTCCCATTGTTTATTTAATCAGTGATTTAAAAAAAAAAAACTGAAACATGGTCCCATGTAGTGCAAGATGGCCTCAAGCTCTCTATGTAGCTGAGGATGGCACTGTAATTTATGCTATTCCTACCTTAACCCCGTTCAGGGCTGGGATTGCAGATGTGTGCCACCATACCCAGTTTACGTAGCGCTGAAGACTGAAGTCAGGACTTTCCACACTCTAGGCCACTGAGCTTTTTCTGCAGCCCCATCTTAACATCAGAAAAGACTGGACATTTTCTTTTCAAGCTCACTTTTGCCAAGATGAATAGCTACAGAATGACGGTAGGGCAGAACATTCAAAGCAATTTCTCAGCCTCTTGATTTTCCTCAAGTAACATCATTGAGGGTGACACCAGTGTCTCTGTCTGCCCGTGCATTAGCATCTTGGTGGGCCAGGAGGCAATTTCCTTTGTCTCCTGGTATTTGGTGTACATGCCCGCCTTGCTCTGGCGCTCCTGGAGATCATTTACTGCTTCTGGGATTAATAAGAGCTGCGAGTTTGTAGCTTCTCATAAAAGCATTGCCACAGGATGGGGCAGACTCTGGCTTCAATCACTTGTACTTTCTCACGAGGGAACCAGATTTCTTTCCCTCAATCATAAGGGTTGACTTCGCCAGTCAAGATACAAGGCAAGGCCAGGGATTGTTGTCCATTTGTCTTGCTTGTAGTTGTTTGAAGGTAGGATCTGTTTCTGAGGTATGCCTGGGACCTACTATGTAACCCCTGATTCACTGGGAGCCTCCTGTTTTAGCCTACTGAGTTTGTGGGTACACTAGATACTGTTGTTCAGTTGTTTGTTTGCTTGGTTAATGGTGTGCAGAATCTAGGGTCACAGGGTAAAAGGCCTCTGGGAATGCCTGTAGGAAATTAATACCTGTGGGAAGACGCATTCTAACTGTGCATCAAATTATTCTCTGGAAGATGATTTTGGATTGAATAACATGGAGACAGTGAGCTGAGCAGGGGTGTGTCTTCATCGTTGTTTTCTCTCTCTCTCTCTCTCTCTCTCTCTCTCTGTGATTTGTGATTTCTCTTTTTTTTATTTTATTTTATTTATTTATTTTTTGAGACAGGGTCCCTGTACTTTCCTTTTTTCTTTTTTGGTTTTTCAAGGCAGGGTTTCTCTGTGTAGCCCTGGCTGTCCTAGAACTCGCTCTGTAGACGGCTGGCCTTTGTGTCCCGAGTGCCAGGATTAAAGGTGTGCACCACCCCCCAGCCAGTTCCTTTTCTTGATTGCAGGTGTGTTGGTGACTGGCCCCTGTTCACTCCTTGCACTGTGATTTTCCTGCCAGAGGGATTGTAGCATGAACTATGAGCCAGCGTAATTCATTTGAGCCAATAAATTCATTTCCCCTTAAGTTGCTTTTGTCGGGGTATTTTGTCATAGTACAGGAAAAGAAACTGAGTCTCACACTGCAGATTTGGCTTTTGTTGTTGTCAATATTTTATTTTTAAAGGTAGAGAAGGGGTCTCCCTGTGTTTTTGAGCTGTGGCCCAGCTTTCCTAGAGTTAATGGACATCTTCCTGTCTCGGCCTCGACAGTGGGAAGGATAAGTGTGAAGGGGTGTCACAAGTATGCACCATCATGCCAGCTTGGCACCGTTAACAAACATGCCATGGACGGGGGCCAGGCTTTCCTGGGCTAGCAGCACTCCTCGCTGTTCTAGAAGCTCCTGGTCTTTGAGGCCCTAGGTTCTTTCTCTGCATTGCTACACTCGGGATTATACACCCCAACTCCACGTACTAATTACTCCCAAGGCGTGTTTGTTTAAAGAGCTCTCTGGTCTGGACCCTACTCTGTGATTTGAGGCCAGTTCCTGGGCAGCACTGAGTATAATGTGCACTGAGGTTGCCTGGGGTGACCAGCACAGGCTCCTGTGATGAACAGGCAGTGACTAGGAAGTGACAGGCACGTTGAGTTGTGTTGATAAGTGCATAAGACATCATGGTGCCGGAATATTCAGGGTGAGGATCTTAACACGTCTCATGGAGGCATCCTGTGGTCCCTCACAGAGCATTGTTTTGGAGCACTAAAGTGGTCTAAAATCTCACCCCAGTGTCAGTTTGTACCTGTTTCTTTTGTCCTCATTATCTAGATTTGTGTCGTGCTCTGCACATTAGTAAATGAAAAGTCAAACCATGATTTGGTGTTTTTGAGAAAGTGTCTCACACCAGAGCTTACTATGTAGTCCAAACTCATGGACTCCTGTCCCAGACTCCCATGTTCTGGAATTAGTCTTGAGCGAGCACGTTCAGCTGAGGCTGTAGTTTTTGAGGCAATAATGAGCATGAGTTTGACAATGAGTTTGACCTTCTGTAGCATTACCAACTTGTTGTCGTGTGAACACAAGCAGAGCTTTGGACATGGAAGCGGCCGGGATGAGACACAGAGAAGGAAGGGCCACAACCTCTCTTTGGTCAGGTCTTATTATCATCATGGTTTTTCTGCCAGCAAGGGGATGCTATAGGAAGTCCTAAATTACCATATCCCCTTTTGCTAACTGAAGAAACTCTAGGGGTCTAGATTTTCTCCAGAAATTTGTCTGTGTTGGCAGAGATGGCGGTCTCTGCTCTGGTCACTGGAATCTAAGGATCCCTGTGCACGCTGTGGGAAGGTCCCGCATGCGAGCATGCCCTGTGGATATCAGTGAGGCTTCACATCAAGAGGCAGAGGCTATATAAATGATAGCTCTATTCCCTCTCCCACCTAGGACTCCCTGAAGCTGCTGAAAAGCAGAAGTTCAATGGTATCTGCTTCATTATCATGGAGCGAGGCTCCCTTTCCGAAGGGCCGAGCACATTCTAAGAATTCAACATATATTGGCGTTTCTTATTAGCAGTAATAAAGTTATATCCAAAGCCAGATGGGGTCAGAGTATTCCAATGTCCTTTCTTCAGCCTGGGGGACCAATGAATGGGCTCTGGACTAGACCCATATGTTTGCCATAAAACAGTGTAAGCCCATATGTCCCTGAGAAGGCTTCTGCTCTCCCTCTTATGGCTGTGGCCTGTTCATTCCTTTCTTCCATACATTTACTGAGCACCAGCTATGTGTGTTGCAGAGCCCAGGTGGCTGCAAACAGAGCATTCCATCACGCATCCTCTGGGCTGCCTCTCCGTCTGCCTGCTGACACAGCTGGCCAGTTATGGGGAGCACACAGAGTGCCAGGGTGTGGAAGTGTGTCAAGTGCATGTGTGTTTTACAGATAAGAGAAATGAAGCCAGAGGAGAAGCCTATTCAAGTCTGAGGACAAGTGTAGTGGCCATCCAAGGCCAGAACAGGTCCCATGGAGGAAGCAAGCTCCTACCCACCAGGCCGGCAGCTTCCATATGAGAAGACAACTGCTCTATTTAACATCAGGACCCTGAAATTGTTTTCTTTGGGGGAAGCGCTGCATTTTAAGGTTAAATAAGGCAAGCACCTTCTGAATAAGTGTTGAACATGGCTCTCAGCTCTGGCTATGTCAGATCACCCGGTGAGCCTTTCAGAAGTACTCATTGGGGCCCCTCCTCAGAACAATCAAGTATTTGTATGAGTGGAGCTGGGTCCCTCCTCCTTTTTTTTTTTTTTTTTTTTTTTTTACCTGATAGCTTAATGTCCAGCCAGGGCTCTGTGCTCTGATACAGTCAGTCCACCATGCCATCAATGGCCTAGAAGACAATGCTTCCAGATAGTGATGTGTATTAGAATCTGGGCGTTCTGTTAGAATGTAGAATCTCAATTGATCAGGTCCAGAGGATCAGGATATCAGCTGCTGTTTCTAGACCATGCTTCTGATAGCCATTCCTGAGGGCACCTGGGATTCTGGTGACACTCCCCCCCCACCCCCCTTGGCTTCTGGTCATTCCATCCAATCTCTCCATCTGAGCCCTTGGTTTTCAGTTGCCCTGGCTTCCAACAGTACCCTTCCTTTCTTGGGCTGGCTGGGCATTCTCTTCCCTTCCCCCCTCCTCCTCCCTGCCTCTCACAGCCCTGGCTCTGTGCTGGGATGCACAGCCAGCCTGTCTAGGCTGTTCTCACTGGTTGTAAAGTTCTACCGTTAAAACTCTGCTCCACTTCTCTCTTTGCCCCGGTCACCTGTGCTAACTGCTTAGGAATGGGATGCTCTTTAGCCTGTGCAGCACCAAGCTCCGTGGCTATTGGCCGCTCCATAAATAGTCGTGGAGTTTAACAAACAAAACTTCGAACCCAGGCGAGCAAGGCCAAAAGCTGTAATGGCTGTCTTCTGATAGAAACGAACATTCCTTGGAGATTATGCATCAAATTTAACAAAGTAAGTGGTTATTTCCTGTCTGGACTTGGAGTTTTAAAGCTGGTTCAACGCAGTGCTCCACCAGGCAGGAATAGGCTGATGGGGGTTGGGGATCTGCTCGCAGATCCGGGTTCCTTGCATCAAGGAGGGAAAGGCTGGAAGTTTGGGACAAGGTGGGGACCACGGGTGGGGAGATCGCATAGCCCAGGGACGGTGGGAACAGCTGGGACGCAGGCAGGAGTTGCGCGAGTTGAACTATGTTGGCGCAGCCTTTCAGGTTTCGCGTCTCGCGGCGCCCACGTGGGGAAGGGGGTGGAGAGCGGGAGGGAGGGCAGGTCCCGAGCCAAGGGGCGGGGGCGGGGGAGGGGGGTAGACCGAAGGAAATGAGACAACCTTTTCCTCCCACTGACTCAGGCTTCTCTCGAGTGTGCAGGGCTCCCAGAGTCCCGAGGCCCGGTGTACGCTTCCCCCGCCCGATCAGCCTTGACCAGGGAGGGCCTCCCCAAACTGCTTTTTGGCGCGCGGGTGCCCCAGCCACAGGGCGCAGAGCACTTTGGCGCTTCCCTCCCTGGGTGATCTGATCTACTCCAGGTTCCGCGGCGGTCCCGGGAACCTGCGGTTCCAGAGGAGGTAAGCTGCTCCCCTTAAAGCGCACCCAGGGCGCAGGAACACCCAGTTTTGCTGAGCGGGAACTCTTCAGCGCTCTTCGGATCCGAAACCTCCGCTTTGTTTCCGAACCCTTGTCCAGGTGTTAGCACGGGTCTTGCCTTCTTCTCTACTCCCTCTTCCTCCTGGCGTCCCCAGCCCCTTGCCCTTCTTTGGCTGGGTCAGACCACTCCTATCCTCCTGCCTCCGCTGCCAGGCTTTGGAGAGCCAGTGAATTGCAAATCTGGGCGCTTCTTTAGCTGCTTCAACTCCGGGAGCGTGGCTGAGCGGGCCAGCCCGCGGCCGTGGAGGGCTTTGGCTTTGCTGGGGACTAACCCACCTTAAGTCGGCCCAGCGAAGGACTTAACGTGGTTCCTCTAGGAGCCACTGAAATATTGGCACTCTTTTGGCGACCCCCAGATCCCCGAGATCAGAGTGGACTGTGGCGTGCAAAAGGTTGTTGGCGCCCCCTAAAGCCTTAAATAGGACGCTGCTGCTGGAGAAGGGGCTCCCTCAGCCCCTCTGCGCTTTTCAGGGGCTGAGGAGTCCGGACGACTCAGGGTGGAGGGAAGCGCTCCTTGTGGGGCAAGAAGACAAGGTGGAGAGGAAGGTGCTGGGGCAGACGAGACCGACCTGGTTGGGTAGTTTCATTTTTGTTCTTTAGTTAAGCTCGTTTACCCAACATCAGGCCTGTGGCAGAACTTCTACAAGTCCTGGCTTTACAAATGGACAAAATGAATCGAGGGAGTAAGCGGCCGTGAGCCAAGGTGTTTGCATAGGGTCTGGATTTCGAGCCCAGCCGGTCTGCGCTGCACACCCCAAGTCCAACCCTACAGATGGTTCCTCTGTCCAGTCCGAGCAAGAATCTGCCACCTCCTGCCTGCTCACACCCGGGGAGACCAAGCGTTTGCCTTTTATAGCAAATACATGGCGATTCCATTCAAATCCAAAGTGTTTATTTAGCACTCGCTGCTGTCCCAGCTCAGCAAAGACCTTCGCAGTTTCACCCTTTCAGCCCCTCCTCCCCTCCAGGCAGTCGAATCTGTATTCTGCCACAGGCTTGAGGTCAAGTCCTGTGTGGAAGAGGCCAGGCAATGGGGGTCAGACCACCAACCTCGGCAATGCCTTCTGGTAGCTGTGTTTTCCCTTCTGAAATGTATGTAGACGAGCCAGGCGTGGTGTGGCACTCAGGGGAGGCGGGAGCAGGAGGATGAGTTCAAGGTCATCTGTGGCCACAGAATGAATTTCAGTCCAGCCTGGGTTCCACAGGACCCTGTCTCAAAGTACTAAGATCAAAAACCGAGTCAACAGTAAAAATAGTAACGATGACAGCGTTTGTTTTTACTTTTAGATTTATTTTATTTTGTATTTATGCACGCGTGTGTCTGCCACTGCTTTAATTGTGCCCCTAAAGAGTCTGGGGGGTATCGGGGACTTTTTTGGCCGTCACCATGTGAGTGGGGGAGGGTGTTGTTCAGTTGGTGGATTGTTCGGGAGACCCCCTCCCCACAGTGCTCCTGCTTTCCTTGAGTCGGCCTGGCTGAAGGTATTGGCCCACAGAGAGCCTGTATTCCAACTCTCCTCCTCTCATCAGCTCTGTTTAGCTGGTTACGACAGCCAGTGTTCTCACATCTCCCCCTCATCCACTACTCCAGGGCCAGAATTCCATTGCCGAATTCCCTACCAGGTCCTGCTGCTGGCCTGCCCCACACCTTTGCTGGTTCTCTGTTGCTAACAGAGGGACTGGATCTATAGGTGTTTGTCAGGCACTAACAGCCCTCCCCCCCGCCCCCCGCAGCCCCCAAATTCCTGAGCCAGTCTCTGGAGGGTGAAATCTAGTCCACGACCCTGCAGTCCCAGGCTTCCCAGCTCGCCCTCACCCTCTAGCCTTCCCGCCATGCTCCCAACACACTCCAGCTCACTGCCACTCTGCTGCTCCCAACTCTTGGAATCCCTCTTCCCCATGGCTTGGCAAACCCCTTATCATTCTTTGGTCTGGAACTCAGTCTGCTCTGGATGAAGCTTTCTCCAGTCCTTGCGGTAGCTTCATTGTTCTCTGCTGCCCTACCGGTCCCCCTTTATGTCTCTTGCTCACCTCTCCACTGATACCCACATGCTGAGAGCCTGGTACTGGCTCATGCTCACAGTGCCTGCTGAGCTCACAGGCTTTGGACATTGCTGTGTTCAAATCCCAGATTTGCCATCTGAGAGCTCTGTGACCTTGAGCAAGTGGGCTCAGACCCTCTGAAAGTCTTACAGGAAGAGCAGGCTGCCTTTTCTCCAAATCAGTGTGACTGACTAATAGGATAATAGCTTAGTGCTGAGGTCACTTCATGAGTTTTGGCTCGTTTGGTCCACATATCATCTCTGTGAAGTCTGTGTGGAGGCACAGGGAGGCTATGGAGTTTGGCTAAAGTCACACAGCTCACTAGTGGTAGGGTCAACACTCACATAGATGATTTGGATTTCAGAAAACACAACTCTTCTTCCTTTGCAGGTCAGGGTTTAGTGTGTGTCAGACACAGTAAACGTGAGCTGAGACCTGGTGACTGCATTAGTGGGGGCCTAAACACGTCTTCTTTTTTAGCCTGTGTCACAGTCAGGATCCAAGACAGCACTGGTTTTCCTTCTCCATCTTGCTTTGCTTGCAGCTACGGAAGGGTAGGACACTGGCCCCTAGTCACATCGACCTTGCTACTAAATGGAGCTTGAGTGTGCTTAGTCAAGGCTGCAGCAGCACTCGCTCTTTGGGAGGATGTAGTTCACGCTTCTGCTTGGAAGAGAAAGGTTCAGGCATGAAGTGGGGGAGTCTGGGTGAGGGAGGTGAGTGAATGCTGGCTCTCCTTACATGGCAGACTAGGCCTTCTTTCTAAGGGTTACCAAAGGCAGTCATCTATTAAAGGTAAAATTTGTTAAGGGGTCTTAATACTTATAATGGAGTGTTGGAGAACCAGGTTTGGAGCCCTCTGCTGACCCCTGTATGATACTGGATCCTAGGTGTCAGCCAGTCACTTTGCCAGCTTAGAATCCTGTTTCTCTCAGAGCTGCCTTGGCTGAAGCCCCTCTGTGTTGGTTCCCCGGCCTCGCTCTGGTGGGCCATGTTTGACTCCTTTGCCCAAATCCCTGCACAATTGTGTGCTCTGCCTTCATGCTCAGCCGTTCCACGCACAGTTTTCTCGTTGCAGCAAGCTGTTCCCTAAACTTCAATAGGATGAGTTCTCTTGTGTGGTGTGGGGACCTGGTGTTGTTAGGGACCCCGGAAGCGCTCCGGAGAAGGCTGTTTCTCAGGGTGTATCAGGGTGAGTGGTTTCCTGTTTCTTAGTTCCTATGAGAACTTGCAGGCCCTTCCCTCCCCAGACCTGTCTGTCACTTGGGTCCTAGGTCACCAGATGCCAGAAGCAGATTTTCCTAGGCTACTAAAGATAGGAAGAAAAGCCAGAATTCAAGACCTGGGCGTCTCTTCTGTTTGAGGTTTGGATAGCCTGACCCGAACATAACTTGCTCAGAGTGGTGGGGTGGAGAGTCAGTCTCAAGATCGGGGTCTCTGATGTCATACACAATTAGCCCCCTCCATGAATAATTCTTCTTAATCTCTGTGAAGTGTGTCCTGCTATTAGACTCATGCACATCCCACTTGGCATTGGAAGAGGTGTTTTGGTCCAGTGTTTATGATCGCTGCCTGAATCTTCAGGAGTTACCTTGAGCTTGGAATGTGGGTGCCGTGCACAGCTCAGTGCTGGGTCCTGGAGACACACAGAAAAAGGAGACATGACTCTTTTCAACAGGGTCATCGCTGTGATGTGACAGACACGTGGCCACCAGAGTGTGTTCAGTAGGGAGAGAAAATTGTTCAACTGAATCAGTCTGTCCCACAAGAAGAGTCAGGAAGGAGCGTGCTCGGCTTGGTGTGGAGGTTCAGGGGGAGGCTGGGTGATCAAAAAGCAGTGTCTCAGGAAGCACGTGTACAAAGCAGAAGATCAAGAGAAGGTTTGGCAGATCTTTAGAGATTTGATGGGGACTGGAGACCCAGAGATGGGCCTGGGAGGTGTGGCTTGTCAGCAGTCCAGCTGTCTGTGGCTGTACTGCTGGAGACAATAGAGGGGGCGGTCCCAGTTCAGGTGTGCAGACTGCTTTGAATGGCGACTCTGCCTCTATCTCTGCTGGCCTTGTTTCCTCCTGGGGCCAGGGGACCAGAGCCTAGGAGTGGAGGAGGAACACTGTCTCCAGTAAGCAAAGAAAAGAAAGCTGAGCTCAGTAGCTGCCATGGTTGTTTTGTTTTCTTTTCAAAGCCTGGCTGATAGACTATGTGGATGGCCCCTCTAGAGCCCTGGCTTTGGGACAATTCCCTTTATACCATCTAGAAATCTGTATGGATGGCTAAGCAATGGGTACGTTTCTCAGATTTAGGGAGAGAGGGGCAGATGTAGAGAGGGAGGGAAGAAAGCGAGACAGGGACACATTCTGGAGAATGGAGAGGGTGAACTAGAAGAGGAGAGGGTAAACTAGAAGAGATGGAGTTTGATACTTGGGCCTGTTCGAACGCAGCAGGTAGTGGTTCTCAGGGCTGACACGCTTCCCTGAAGCCAGAGCCCTCTGTGTGCATTTACTGCATAAAGCACCCAGTAGTGATGGGCTCATCTGCTTGCAGCTCACCCCTAAGTTGACCCCATCCACCATTCCGCTTTTGGAGAGATGAGTGAACAAAAGCACTCACCTTCAGGCTGTTCATAGCTGCACAGCACAGGGGCAATGGAGGACAAGATGAACACGACAATGCAACAGTTCAAAAACTGGAATCTCATGATGGGAGAAGGAAAAGGCTGGCATCCTGCCGCCAGCCAGAGCAGGAACTTCTCACCCAGAGAGAGACTTTATACAGTTCTGACCACTTGTCAGACCTCGCTAAAGACAGCAGGGATGGAGGACCAGTACCGCTTAGATTTAAACCTAAATTTCACATCCGGCCCCACTGGACCTCTTTTTTC